ACCAGCCACCCACACACATTCTACAACTGAACACGTTTGGAGCTCTGCTTTAAAGATAATAAAACAAGGAGAAAACAGGCAGGCTGAAGACAATTCCCATGACCACTTTCCTAAAAAGTTGCTGGGTTTTAATTCTTTGATTATTCTGTCTCCCCCCCCCCCCCAAGCACTCACTAGCAACGATTGCTTCAAGGGAGAAATAATGTACTATAAAGCTCTCCGCATGGTGAGTTTGGGATAAATTAGGGTACACCTTTCAAAATGCATATCTTGCACACACATATTTTTCCAAAAGCGCTGCTTTACCGGGAAGGGACTATGCAAGCTTTCCAGCCCCTCACTCCACCCAGGGGATACTGGTTTCTTGCTAATTTTTGCGTTAGGTTTTACCTTCTCTCCCATTCCCCCCAACCTTCTCTCTCATTCCCCCATCCGGTTTCTTTCTCTCTCATTCGTTAGGTTTTTACCACTCATTCCCCCCCCCCCAACCACTCACACCACAATCAGATTATTGAGCCTCAGAGCTCGACAGGGAGAGTTTACTGTTAAATTGAAATAAAAATATCTCTTTGAATTTGTCACCTCTCTCCTTTTTAGACGGCTTGCGCTCCTGCTACTCTAGTCCGGAGCTGAGGATGAGGAGACCACCTCCTTTAGATTTTCAGCACCACGGCGATGGACAGCACCCGCGGTCTCTGGCCGGCCAAGCGCCGGCTAGTCCACTTAGCGTCCTGGGCTCGACCCGAGCAGCCGTTCCCATCCCAATCTTTCAAGTCACCGTACCCAAAAAATCAAAGCCCAATCTCCCCCTCGATCTTCTCTCTCTTTTTCTTCATCTTCCGAGCCCGCCGCTCTCCCCATAGCACCGCTCCTATCAGCACTTCGCTCAAAACCCAGCCTTGCCCCAGAGAACAGCTCCCCACGCACCCCAGCTCTGGTCTCCGCTGCCCGAGCGCCTCCCTCCACGGCGCCCGCCCGAGGCTCCCTCTCGCTCCGTCTGCTGCTCGTCAGTCGCCGGCCGGTGGTTCGGCCCGCCTGCTCTTCTCCCCGGCAAAGTTGGGAGGGAAAGGTGCACTCACCTTTGTGCATGCCTGTGAACCTGTCCTTCAGAACCGTAAGCTCGTAGATTTTGCCGAACTCCTCAAAGAGGGGCTTGAGGTCCTTCTCATCCAGGTTGCGGGGGATCTGCCCAATGAACAGCTTGATGGCATCGTGGTCCTTCATGGGAATGGTCGACGGGTTCCCCGGGCTGTGGCTTAATCCGTTCATGTGCCCGGCGCTGCCCGGGCTGCTGCCGAGCCCGTTGGTACTGAGGCTCGCGTTGTCAGCCTGTCCGTTTGCTAACGTGGCCATCTTTATATACATAGAGAAAAATCTTCTTTCCTTTTATTCTTTCTCGCTCACACTCTCTCGCTCCTCTCCCTCGCTCGCTCGCGCTCACACACGCACACGCATACACACACTCGGGTTCTCTCCCCCTCGGTTTCTCTACACCTCGCTCTCCTCTCGCTCTGCTCTCTCTCTCTTTCTCCTCTTCTCTCGCTCGCTCGCGCTCGCGCTCTCTCTCTGCTCTCCCCCCTCCCTCTCCTCTCTCTCTCAGTCTGATCTGATTTTTTTTTTTTTTTTTTACATTGAACAGACAGGATCTCTGTCCTTTCCGTTTAAACAGGCTGGACCGGTTCAAGTTCCCAGCCAGACCAGGGGTGGGGGCGGCTAGTGTGTGCTCTCAGAAGAGGGCT